GGGAGACAACGAGGAGCAGGACTCACAGAACGAGGGCAGCACTGAGAAGTCGAGTGTGGCCAGCTCTCCAGAGGCCTCTCCTGCTGACCAGCCGTTCTCGCCCAAGCCCAGAGCCGAGGTGTCCAAAGGGGAGTTGATGTTTGATGACTCTTCTGATTCATCCCCCGAAAAGCAGGAGCGGAGCTTGAACTGGGCCCCTGCTGAAGCCCCGCCACTCACCACGGCCCAGCGCAGGCTGCCTCAGGGAAAAGGGCAGGGACTTATTAACCTGTGTGCCAATGTCCCACCTGTCCCCGGGGACATCCTGCCTCCCGACATGCGGAGTAACTTGATGGCTGCTGGACAAAACCTCCAGGGTTCTGAGCGATCAGAAATGCTAGGGACCTGGAGCCCAGCCGTCCGGACGTTGCGTAACATCACAAACAACGCCGACATCCAGCAGATCAGCCGGCCATCCAATGTTGCACACGTAAGTCTCAGGAAGCTGAAGGCTGCATTCAAGAGTGGGGTTTCGTCGCCTGAGATCAGGTTACTTACGAGTCCCATTTTTGTGGGGCTTCTTTCCGGTTGTGTTAAACCAGATGATGACATTTGGGCCAGTGAGGAAGCAAATACCTCCCAGTGGCTTCACGAGGCCTCACGGCCTGGCAGTGTGGTCGCTGGTGTCCACCAGGGAGCGAGCTCAGTACGCTTCCTAAGTGCTCATATCTTTCAATGTTGGCCCTGTTGGTGCATGTTATTGTGTCTTTCACTGTCAGAGTCTGCCATCAGACCAGTGACAGGAAGGATCTTACTTACAAAGGAGATGGTGTCAGGCTTGAATTAAAGGTTGCGCAGAGCACTGGGGACCGGGTTCCTGGTGAAAACCCAAAGTGGGAAGAATTTGCTATCCTGAGGACGTGATAAGAAGGGAGTTGGGTGTGTGAGGGAGCCTTGAGAGGCAGACAAGGAGCTTTGTCACGGTGGCCGTGGGAGGAGCGCACTTCCTTCATGGGAAGCCTGCACAGGACGTGAGCAGGGGTGTGCTGCTGTCCGACAGGTGCATGAAGCCTTAGAAAGGGGTTGTGGGGAGGAAGCAGGAAAGCCCCACGAGAGGCTGGAACATGGTACTGGACAGGGTCCTGGTGAGCGAGCAGAGATTCGACTGCACTGAAAGAACTTCAGGTGTGACAATTAGAGACTCTGTGTGTGTGTTTGTGTGTGTGTGTGAGTGTGTGTGTGTGTCTGTGATGTGTGCGTGTGTGTGAGAGAGTGTATGCATGTGTGTCTGATGTGTGTGAGAGAGTGTGAGTGTGTGTGTGGTGATGAGGAGGGCAGGAAAACATCTGATAAGTACGGGGTGAGTGGGATTGACAACACACAATGATCTCTAGCTTTGCGTCCGATGAGACTGTTCATGAGGTAGGAGGAAGGAAGAGGAGAGCTCCAGGTCATGCTGGGAGCAGCCGAGCGTGGGCAGCCAGAAGCCCTCCCATTTAAGAGCTGCTGTGGTGGCTGCTCTGCTCTGGCAGATTTGTCCTTTTTTGTTTTGTTTTTTCTTTAACAGTTTCCAGCTGTGGGAACAACCTGAGGTAGGACCCGGTGCCATTTGAGGTGGACATAGGCAATTGTGCATGGCCTGGGTGTGAGGTGGTGTTAGAGTCGTTTGCTGGATTTGATTATGGCAAGGGCTTTAAGGAAGCCTCTGTTGGTTAGAGATGCTTAGAAAACTGTGCCTGTAACTTGAACAGTGAATACTGATGGCTGGGATTCTAGAGACAAGGGTTGGAGTCCAGATCCAGGTGACTCTGGGCATCCTTTAGGTGCTGGGAAGAGAAAAGTTAGCTGCGGAGGCGAGATAGATAGGAGAGGGTTACCTGGGTCTGAGGAGAGTGGCCGACGGACGGTAAAATGATTGATTCAGAGACTGGAAGACTGTAGTGCTGGGTGTGGCCCACACTAGTTTACCTTGGCAACCACCACTTTTGATGTGACCTGGGAAGTAAGAGGGAGCTCAGTCTGGGCTGAGGGAAGATGAGGGGCCAGCCAGAGCCCTGTGGAGAGAATAATTCCTGTGGTGGACAGAGCCTGGGCCATGACCTTTGGAGGTGTCAGAGTGAATAGTTGACTGACAGTCAAAATAAATAGTAAAATGTATTTGTCCAGATTCCCAGATTCTGCGTACAGGCTGGAGTTCAGGTCTTTTTGGGTGGTGATGGTCTGGTGAAAGCTGACCAGGTTGGGGCTGGAGAGATGTCTAAGTGGCTAAGAGCATTGGCTGCTCTTCTGGAGGATCTGGGTATGATTCCCAGTATCATGTGGTGCCTCACAGCTGTCTGATGCCAGTACTAGGGGATGGATCTGCTAGCCTTTGTGACCTCTGCAGCCACCACATGCGCAGGCATACATGCGGCAAACAACTGTTCACATAAAAGGAAAATAAGTGAATCTTTAATAAACCACCAGAAACCTCGGGCCTAGTGTTCTAGAAGCTGCAGCTACTACCTTTAGGAATGAAGTCTCACTGGTGACCTAAGGTCCCACAACTTCCTGCTTGATTGCCTCCATCCCTTCCCGGATGTCAAGTGACTGTTGACGAGGTACATGCCTTTATGACTGACTGTAGCTCCTCATTGTGTAGCATGGAGGTGAGGGGGCCTCAGAACTGACAAATCAGGCATATCTGCTTGTGGGTAGTAGGGGCTACCAAACTGCAGAGGGGTGGTTCCAGCCTGAGTATGGAATGGAGGCTGTGCCACCCTGCCTCTCTGCATACCAGTGTCCAGGAGGCATGAGTCCCCACAGCTACAAAGCGGGACGGGCTTAGGAGGAGAGCAGTGGAGGACAGCAAGGAGGGTAACGATTAGAAGGAAGGGGTGTTATGGTCAGTAGACCAGAGGCAAAGAGGCTGGACATTTCTCACCTCAGGTCTTGAGGGGAGGGGAGAATGGAAGGTTAATGGGTTCTACTGAGGGGATCTGGGCTGTCCAAGTGGACTTGACCCATATACACTTGGAAATGTTGACTAAAGAGACTTCAGAGGTGGTGTGAGGGCTAGATGGAGGTGTGAGGCTTCTGAATGCTCAAGAGTTTGCGTCCCCTCCCTCTCTTGAAGGCATGTTATCCCCCCCCCCCCCTTTCAGACTAGCAACTAACTAGGACTGGTCAGCAACTGGCCTCCTGCTGTGCTCACACACGTGGAGGTTTAAGGGTGGGGATTCCTAAATCTTTGTGGATTTAGACATAGACTGATGTCTGAAATGAGCTGAGGGCCGGATACTGGTCTGACACTGTCCTCCAGCGACACTGGCTCCACAGTGGAGTCAGCTCAGCCAGCAACAGCAAAGTTAGGTTCAGGTCACTGGTGCTTCCTAAGAGTCCTAAGCACTGCGTACAGGAGATGCATTCAGAGTGTTGGACAAGGGAGACTCAGTTTGATCTTTGATCAGGGTGGAGAGGGAAGGTGGGTGGCAAGTATGTACCAGCTAGCGCTTATGTGGTATGTACCATAATGCTTTTATGTTCTGGCAGCAACTCAGACAACGCAGTTTGAAGGAGAGGAAATTCAAAGTTGCTGTCTCTTCAGAATTGCTGCTTGCATGTGGCATGGTTCCATGGTCAAGTCCTTGGGTCCCTTGTTGCTATATTCTCAGCTTGAGGTTCACGAGATGGGAGTGTGACACAGCAGAGCTCTGGTGGTTGTCCCCACTGTAGATGCGGAGACCCCCATGCTAATGACTGTTCTCACGCCTGGTCAGGTTCTCCTGACTTTCCATTGTTTCTCCTTGGATGGACTGGGTCGGGTATGGCAGCCTTTGTTCTAGGTCAGGGCAGAGACAGCCACATGCCTTGCTCTCCTGCCATCCTTTGTTGTCTTTTGAGACCAACTCTGTAGCTGTGGCTACTGGAGCTCTGTGGACCCGCCTCTGCCTCCCCAGTGCTGGGATTAAAGGCGTGAGCCTCCACTGCCCTCCTCTGCCTCCCCAGTGCTGGGATTAAAGGCGTGAGCCTCCACTGCCCGCCTCTGCCTCCCCAGTGCTGGGATTAAAGGCGTGAGCCACCATTGCTGGGCTTTCTTCTTTTCACCATATGAGCTCCCCACATAGACAACCGAGTCTGTTATATTCTGCTGCTCTCTCTCAGAACCAGGAGCTGGTGCAGGGGGCTGCCTGACTGACTGCAGGTGTCCCCATGCCTGTCCTGGCAGCCGCTCCTGTGTCATCTCTTCTGGGGTCATTTTGGATGGGGTTGGTAGTGCAGAGGACAGCAATGTGGCAGATGGCGGCTTTGGCCTATTATGTGGCAGGCGGTCTCTGTATTCATCCCATCTGTTGCTTAGTCTTATTTGAGGAAGGATAGTCAATAGCTGTAATGATTTCTCAGGAAGGCAGAACATGGGCTTTTTAAGAAAGATTCTTTTAGCCGGGCGTTGGTGGCGCACGCCTTTAATCCCAGCACTCGGGAGGCAGAGGCAGGAGGATCTCTGTGAGTTCGAGGCCAGCCTGGTCTACAGAGTGAGTTCCAGGACAGCCTCCAAAGCCACAGCGAAACCCTGTCTCGAAAAACCAAAAAAAAAAAAAAAAAAAGAAAGATTCTTTTAAGACATGTTTATTTAAACAACTGTACATTCTAAGCACTGTTCTTAGTGCTAGTATATATCTGTGTACAAAACAAAAGCAAGGTTGAACCCAGTTTTTATTTTTTTGAAATTTTAATATAATTACATTAATTTTCCCTTTTCCTCTCTCCAATCCCTCTCATATACCCTTCCTTGCTCTTTCAAATTCATGACCTCTTTTCCACTAATTGTTATGTGTCTGTGTGTTCTCTAGTGCACACACGCATGCACGCACGCACATGCCCTCCCGACTATATGAATATAACCTGTTTAGTCTGCATGTTGCCTAAATGTATATGTTTTTAGGGCTGACCATTTGGTATGGGATAACCACTTAATGTTCTCGTCCCGGGGGAAGACTGTGTCCACCTCAGCTTTTCCTGGTTGTCTGTAGCTCTTTCTGTAGGGTGGAGGCCTCTTTATGAATATGCGTGTCATTCTTGTGCAGGGGCCATGCTAATTATCTCTGAGTCATTCTAGTCTTAATATATGTGCTGCAAAAGTGAACACCATTTACTTAAAAAAAAAAAAAAACTTTGTGTGTGCTTGTACCACAATGTTCATGTGGAGAAAGGCTTTTAAGTGTCAGTCCTTGCCTTCCACCATGTTTGAGACATTGTCTGTGGTTCACTGTGGTGTAGCTAGGTTACATGAGCCTTGAGCTAGCTTCCTTATATCCCCAGTTTCTGCCTCCCTTCTCCCTGTAGGAACATTAAGATCACAGATGCATGTACTTCTGTGCCTGGCTCTTATGTGAGGTCTAGAGACCTGACCTCAGGATGTCTGGTTGGCACGGCCTATTCTCCAACACCTCCCTCCTTAATACTGTTATTATTATTTGAGAATACTGAATTGTGTAGCCCAGGCTAGCCATGGACTCCTTATATAGCGAGGGTTGACCTTGAATTCCTAATGCTCTTGCCTCCACGTCCCAAGTGTTGGAATTACAGGTCTATACCGTCAAGTCCAGCTAACGTTTGCCTTTAAGTGTGCCTTTTGCTAGAGTCCATCTGTCCCTCTTGTGTGTCACACGCACTGCCCAGAGCAGGGTACAGTAGAGGAACGGGAGCTGTGCTGGGCGTGGCTGCGGTCTGAGTGCTGTGGTGGTAAGCTTAGACCCCCTTCCCACTTTATCTGACTGGAGGAAGTAGAACATGGTTGCTCCTGTGGTAAGATTTGAGCCGAGGCTGCCATTTTCCAGAGCACGCTCCAGTTAGTCAGAAGCAGATCATGGTATGGAGGGAAGGAGTTGCCCTGTAGAGAGCCACATTCCCGGTAGCGCAGCCTGCTCAGAGCCAAGCAGGACCAATACTGCCATTTGTTTGTTTTGCTGTCCTGTTCCCGTTCTTTAAGATGCAGCAGTCCTGTGTGTGTGTGTTGGGGGTGGGGGTTGGCGTGTGGATCAGAGGCAACTTTGGGGAATTGGTTCTCTCTTTGTACAGTGGGTTCCAGGGCTTAGATTCTGGTTGCCAGGCTTGGGTAGCAAGCACTTCACCTGCTGAGCATTTCGAAGCTACAGTGTTTTGTTCATTTTCTGTTTTATAATTCCGCGTCCTGCTCCCTGGATGTTGAATACAAAGTACATGAGAACAGTGTGGTGTTGCTGTCTGGTCCCTGTTAGGTAGCGGCTCGGCATATCAGCTGCGTGGATGCACTTTTACCTGCCTGCGAGCAGGTAGTGCCTCTCAGCAATTATTGGTAGTGACTTGGTCCTCCTTTTGTTTTCTAGATCTTACAGTCCCTTTCAGCACCCACAAAAAGCCTGGAGCAGCAGCAGGTGGCGCATGGCCAACAGGGACACCCCACTGCCAGTGCCGTGCTGTTTGGCCAGTCTAAAGGCGCTCCCGAGGCACACGTGTTGCAGCAGCACCATCCTCCCCAGCAGCCACCGCAGCAGCACCCAGTCCTGCATCTTCAGCCCCAGATCATGCAGCTCCAGCAGCAGCCGCAGCCGCAGCCGCAGCCACAGCCACAGCCTTACCCCCAGCCTCCGTCACATCCGTTCCCTCAGCAAGTCCATCAGCACCAGTTTTCTCAGCAGCAGCTCCAGTTTCCACAGCAACCGTTACACCCTCAGCAGCAGCTGCATCGCCCTCAGCAGCAGCTGCAGCCATTTCAGCAGCAGCATGCCCTGCAGCAGCTCCATCAGCTGCAGCAGCAGCAGCTACAGCAGCACCAGTTAGCACACCTCCAGCAGCAGCAGCAGCAGCAGCAGCAGCAACAGCACAACCTTCTCCAGCAGCAACAGCAGCAGCTCCAACGCCTGCACCAGCAGCAGCAGCAGCAGCAGATGCAGAATCAAGCAGCACACTTGAGCCAAACACCCCAGGCACTACAGCACCAGGTTCCACCCCAGCAGCCCCTGCAGCTGCCCCTGCAGCCCCCACCCCAGCAGCAGCAGCAGCAGCAGCAGCAGCAGCTTTTTGGACATGACCCAGCAGTGGAGAGTTAGTACGGCTTCCTGTTTTCCCACAAGTTACAAGCTTGCATAAGTGCTCCCAGATTATGGCCCCGTCAAATAATTGTCGCCCGTGGAGTATGAGTCTCATACCTGTCACACAGGCGTTACAGTGAGATAATTAGGGTTCTTTGTACTCTGCACACACTGCAGTGAGGGCCAGTGTTCACAGAGTGTCCAGACCGCCTCGGGGGATATGCTGAGAATTTAGTGCTTAGATCTGAGTTATGTCAGTTTTTAATGCTGGTTTTGTATGTAGATTAGAGGATTTGTAGCAGCATTTCAAACGTAGTTAGACTGTGGATTCAAACTAAACTCATCAAAGTGCACTTTTCATTTCTGTTCACGTCTGTCACTCTAGTTCCAGAAGAAGGCTTCTTGCTAGGATGTGTGTTTGCAATTGCGGACTATCCAGAGCAGATGTCGGATAAGCAGCTGCTGGCCACCTGGAAAAGGGTGAGCTGGGGATGGGGGGCTGTGTGCTTGAGGGGTGTAGGCCAGCTGCCTAGTTGTCTGGCCTCATGCAACAAGTTCTGTGAGTGCTCTCATCAGTGCCACCCACTGTGGGAGGTGCCTGTCACTTTCTGGGCTTTTGTCACTTATGTGCTAAGTGGAGTGTTGGGCTTCATGATTCTTAAAATTTCTTCAGGGATAATGGTTACTTGTAACTATCTTGTGGTGTGTATAATTGTGGAATGGTAGTACACATATTTATTTACTCATTATTTTTTTATGTATTCCTGTAAAGGAAAAGAAAAGTTTGGGAAGTTTTTCTTCTAATCATGCTTCAAGTCAAAATGGAGCACCCTCACCCCATTAGATAGAAACTGAGCTTATACTAGAAACATACCTTGAGTGTTCCTCACTACAAGCGTCCCAGCTGTGCTTAGACCTCTGCTAAGTGCCAGGGCTGCCAGACTGGGCAGTGTTGAGTTGGCAGAGGCTGGGCGCGTCAACAGGACAGAGGCAGGCATTGTGTTGGTGTGGGTAGAGAAGGTCTAGGACGTGCAGGAACCTGGAAAGGGGCATGAGCCCAAGGTTGGACAGGGCTTGCTAAAGCTGGTAGAGGGGATCATGAGACTGTCCGTAGGAGGGTTAGAGCAGGGATGGGGAGATGGCGCACACAGCAGCCTGTGAAGGCGCGCCCGTGGCACTGATGGCGCCTGCCGTCAAGTCTGGTCCTGGGCATTCTTGAATGAGGGAGGGCAGAGGTGGCGGTTGTCTGTCTTCCAGGACTTTGTTAGGTGCTGTGATGGTAGGATTTGGATTATCCTTACAAGCTGTATGGAAAAGGGGTGTGTGAGTGAAGTAGTTAGATTCTGTGTTGTGTGCTAAGGAGACTTTGGGCTCCCCGGGAGAGTGAATGGCGGGCCAGGAGAGGATAAGGCACCAGGATAGGGCCAGAGGGTGTCTGGGGCCTGCAGTGGTAGAAAAGTAGAGAGAGTTGGGAGCTGTGGAATGGGTTATTGAGAAGCTTCGTGAAAAGGTAGAACTAGAATCAAAGATCATGAAACAAAGTGTGGTATTTAATGTGCTTGTGTGAGGCCTGGTCTCCCCAGAAGCTGTCCTTGAACTCCAAGGATGACCTTGAACAGCTTCTTGCAGCAATTTGGGATTACAGGCATGTGCCACCACACCCAGTTTCTGCGGTGCTGGGGTGCTTAGCCCAGGGTCTCTTGTGTGTTAGACAAGCGTGGTCAGGGGAGCCAACACTCGGTAGTCCAGGATGAGCGGTACTCATTCATCTCTCTGAGCCATCTCCAGGGTCTCAGATGTAGTTTTGACACACACTACATTCTGACACAGTGTGAAGGTCTGTAAGGGCAGTGGATCTGCTCTGGGAGCATTTGGTAGTTAGAAGAGCACTTGATGCCCAGTGAGAAGTCAGGGTGAGCACTGGACACCATGCACCACCCAGGCAGTTTCCCTACACACTCTGCTGATCAAAATGTCAGCAGTGCTGAGGAAAAGAGGCTCGGTTTTAATTAAGAGCATTGCCTTCCACTCCCTTCGAAATAGCTGAGTAGCAGTGTTGTTCTCAAGTGCTGGGGAAAGATTGTGTGACTGGGGTGTGAATGTTGCTGTTAGGTACTGTTTTTCCTATGGCGAATGAGCCATGCCAGTGTAGCCTGACTTCTCTTCATAACTGTCTGAGTTGAATCACAATTCTGTAGTATCCTGAATAACTGGAGCTGATGGCATGTTTGGCTACATCTTTTGTGTAGATAATCCAGGCGCATGGTGGCACTGTGGACCCCACGTTCACAAGCCGATGCACACACCTCCTCTGCGAGAGCCAAGTCAGTAGTCAGTATGCACAGGTAAGAACACTGGCCACCGTGACTGGGAGGCAGTGGCATTGTTATGTGCAGCCTAAGAAGCAAGGGCGGAACATGTTTGTGGCACTGTGTCATGTGACCCATGCTGGTCTTGACCTCAGTGTGCAGCAGAGAACAACCTTAAACCTTTGTCTTTACCCCTTGAGCGTGAGAGGCACGTACCGTTGTACCTAGCTTTTTGTGGTGCTAGGACTCATACTGAGGACCTCATGTGTGTTAGACAGTGAGCTGTTGTGTCCTCACAGTGCTCATAATCTTCCAGATAATATTTTCCTGCCGCCAAAACTAAGAAAACCACTTCTGGGTTAGATACTGTTGTGGACAACTTTGGGCGATAGAGAAGAGGAAGAAGCTCCAGATAGAGGAGAGAAGGGGCAGGTCCTCCCCTTCTCTCAGATGACCCTCAGAATGGGACTTGGCACATTCTGGGGTTTTGCATGTAAGAGCTTCTGGGAGTATGTCCCTGAGAGTGCAGCAGTGAACCCTGGGCTGTAAGCTCCTCCCAGCATCACCTCCTTACCCCGGGCTTTCATTTCTTCTCTTTGTGTGAAAATGTTGGTGGTAATCGGCAGATGGATGCTACTGTATGTGTGACAGTCACTTTAGGAGCACCTTGTTAGGTACTGTTGACTGTCCCTTTTTAGACTGCGGACTTCATCTGTGGTTAAGTTTAGGAGTGTGCTATATGTACATGCTTTGTATGCAGGGTGTAG